TAATTAAAATAAATTTTTAGTTACTTCGTTCTTTAGTGTTGAATCCAAATAAGGTATGTCTAAAACCCATACTATGTACCTTTATAAAAACTTTAATAGTGTTTTTTTTCTGGTGGTACTGGGTTTGAACTCAGTGCTTCATGCTTGTTAGGCGCTCTACCACTTCAGCCACTCAGCCACCCCTTTTTTGTGTTGGTATTTTCCAGATAGCGTCTTTTGAACTATTTGCTCAGACTGACCTTAAACCTCGGTCCTCCTTACCTCTGCCTCCTAAGTACTAGGATTACGGGTGTGATCCACCAACACCTTTCTTTTAATAGTGAATTTACATGAAATAAATATGTTTTGTCCAATCAAACTATTGGTTTCATTCACTGTGTTCTTTTCTAACCTATATTCGGCACCAGGAAATTTCTCATTTTTTCACCCAGGATTCTCTGGTTCGTGAAGTAGTAAGATTGAATCTTAATTTTTCTGTTTTCTTTGTGATGCTTTTGTCTCCCTACACACATAAGACACTACTATCAGTGGGAATTTTCTCTATTCTGATATCATTGCTAATTTGACTCTTGTCACACCCAGGCATCTGTAAAAGTAGTGTGTCTTTTTTGTCAGATTTGTTTCAGTTCCTCCTGTGTGGATTCAATCAAGATCTCTTCTGACAAATCAACTTCAGAATAGCTTCTTGGTCTCTATTCATTTTTGTGGATAATATAAGATCTAGATTTTATTATCTCTAATCCAGTTTTGTTCTTTCTTCCTTTTCCAACTTCCTGACATTCTTATCTATGATTTCATCTTAATGGTTTTCATGGTATTGTTTGTACCATCTTTCCCCTTTTTGTCTAAATTTACATAAATATTTTTCCATAGTCTGTCTTTATCTTTAAAATGTCATCACATAATCCAGAGTATATAATCAAAACCACTTCCAAGGTTCCTTCACTTCTCCAAGTCCATTTTTAATTCTTATTCCCAATTTATGATACTCTTTTTTTCAGTTTCCCCCTCTTAGTACAGTCTGGTTTTTTTGTTTACATGAACGGCTTTATGTTTTTTTTTAGGCATAGCTTCTTATTTTGAGTTACCTATAATTTCTACTTAATTTATGTGTGTAGGATTTCTAAACATTTTTTTGAGACTGTCATCTAAGTGATAAGATACTTCTATCCAACGCTTTTGTGAATTGGATTATTTGCTTCCATGGTCTCTATATACTTAATTATTGTCTTTGTAGTGAATTAAAATGAAAAATGATGGAAATTCTGCTATCTAAAATTTTTTCCATGTTCTCTGTATGCATTTTTTGAGAAGGAATAATATTTTCTGAACTTAAATATACACAAACATCTTGTCCTTTGAGGAGTGAATAGTCTACTGTTCTAGGGACATCTAAATTTACCACTGTTGACACATGAGTAAATATTTTTCACATGATAGAGATAACAAAACAGTAACTCCTTTAAGGAAACAACTATGATTTAGAAGACCCAAAGAACTAATTTTAACATCTAATAAGGGAACTGAACAGAGATCCAGAAAACTTCTGGTTCTCATTCATCTCTTGGGCACATCTGGTTTTATTGCTGTAATTCAGAATATAATCTCAGCCCTAGAGAAGATATGGTGAAGTAATTGAATTAGAAGATTCAGTTCAGAGGAGCTTTTTCCTCTTCTTCAAGTACCTGCCAGCCTTTGAGATGCCTGTGTCAGGAGTATATTTTAATTGGATTGCTGTATATTTAAGATAATTAATAATATTATTTCTGTCCTCCCTATTAGCATAAATGCTCCTTAATTCTTATTTTAATATTGAGTGTTAGCCTAATTATGTCATTGATTTAAGTATTTAATGTCTAAAAATACCTTGGTATGGCTAGGTGTATAGCTCATTAGTAGAGGCATGTGCTTAGTATGCACAAGAACTAGCACCAAATAGGAAAAGGATGGTTGGATGGATGGATGGATAGATCTATCCCATGACAAACTTAAAAATCTAGTTTGTATATAATTACTAACACTTTTATAAAACACTGGGAATTTTCTAAAATTAAGCATTATGTTTCATCACTTTGGGACTTAACAACAATTTCTAGGATTTGGAGTGCTTTATTAACCCAAAGTTTAGGCATGTTTACTTGCCTTCATCCTATAATTTATAGGATCCAAGAATCAAACCCAGGATTCTTTACTCTGTCATCCAAATACTTAATACCATACCACACTCAGCTCTGCATTTCATTTTGTTTTATATTTGGAAACATAGGTAACTTAGGTATATTGGTCTCTGATGAAGTAGACATGTTAGTTTTCTCTGGCTATTATCTTCTTCTCTAGTTATGCATAGTGGGACTTACAAAGTAGTATATTTATGGCAGTATTAGAGATGTTTGTAGATTTCATATGACTTCTGATAGGCTAATTTTAACATACTTTGTACATCTTTAACAGGTACAGCATCATTTTTCAGTCTTGAACCTGGTTGCTTCACATCATTGCGTAATGCATTTTTTCAGGTATCCTCATCCTCTTACTGCTCCTGTAAGCACTGTTTTAGAATGAAATAATATTCTAGAGCTGATGATAATCAAGCCATAGAGATCCATATCTCAGGGACACAACTCTATTCTCTTTATACATTAATGTTAAAAACAACTCTGCTGTGGACGAGCAGGGAATTTAAACATACTTTTTAAAATGAAAGCCTTCCTGAATGAAGTTTTATTCCACTCTCCTTTTAAACCCTACGAATAAGCTGCTGGCCTCCATTACTTTCAGGAAATGAAAAATGGCTCAAAAGCTAAGTAAGCTAAGCCATCTCTCTCTCAATTGTTTCAGTTTCTCAGGAATTGCTGTACAATGATGCCAATAACGATCTCCGGGGATCTGACCCCCATTCCACCTCCCACTGCCTCCTCTGCAGCTCCAGATGCCACCAAAAGAAGGAGCTTTGAAGAAAGTGCCTGTACCCTCTTTTACCCTGAGGTGGGTGAGGCCAGGCAGGGTGATTCTCAGGATATCCTGATGATCAAAGGTATAGTTGAAGCCTTCATCAAGACTTTCTTGAAGATGACCAAGAAATTTGGGAAACATTACCAAATAGCCTAGGAACTGAAGACTCAGATCAAGAATGGATGGTACAGATGCCATCTGAAATGTTAGTAGATGATGACATGCACAACCCTAAATAAGATCCTTGAGGGCAGAGACTGTTATATTCTGTTTAGATCTCTCTCCCCCTGCCACCTCTACAATGTTTAGGGTAGTACTGAGCATATAAAATAATACTCTTATGTTAATTAGTAACTGAAAGAGAAGACTTTATTAAAAAGTGTTCTCTAACATTTTTTTCTCTGGCACTTAAATCTACAGCTGTTTGCCCATTTATCAAGAATGGTGATAGAGTTCAATAATATCTCAAGCTTCTTGGCTACTGTTGTCTTCTGTCTTAGCTGTATGTCTTGGTAAGGAATATGTATCTGTCCCATATATGAAGTTTTTAGTGTTGATACTTAAATAAAAGTCTTCACTGATGCCTGGGCTTACCCTTCTTAGGTATTTTATTATGCTATTTAGTTCTTTAGTGGAAATCTTGTCCTATCTGAACCACACCACAGGGATTTATTGTATCATTGGTTTTAAAAATCCCTTTTGTATCTGTTTTTAAGATTCAACAATAAACAGTTTTAGTTCTTGAATAAATCGTACGTCAGTCATCACTGTGTTTTAGAAACAGGATGTATTATGACAACATCAATTTTTTACTCTTAAATGGCAAGTCTTATGTCTCATTTGAGTAATATTGCCAATAGCCTACTAAAAGAATATTTACAGTAATATGACTTAAGGAATTGCTTAATTAAAATAAATTTCATGGCTACTATTTCTCTTAGAAAAAGGGAAATATTAGAAACTTATTAATTAGTACCATTCATTTCTTCTGTCCCTATGCTGTCCTTCAGTGATTTAGTCACGTCTTCATTAGTTAACTCTTACTTAGAGGCAGATCTTAACAATCTCATCTTTAGTTATTTGATTTCTTATATCCTTTGTACCTCCTATTATACATTAAAGCCTTTTATTTGTAAATCTTTTTCAAGGTAAAAGTGAATGTTTCAGAGTGCTGTTGGTTTCTTTTGATAAATATGAGGTAAACTTTCATTATATATTCTCAACAGCTGGCTTTTTAGATTATAAAGAAATGAATATTAGAACCAAGTATATTTTACTCAGGAAAATAATCTTTCCGGAATAATATACCTTTCTCTTGAACAAGAGGTGTATTAAATTATGCTGCTTTAATTAGGGATTTTGCTAGTATTATGACACTTTTTTAAAAGGAAATTCAGTTTGTCTTCATAAGTTTTTATGTAAATAACCAAGGACCATTATGTATGCATCTTTTAAGGAGATTTATTCTATTTCATGAATAAAATAATCACCAGCTCATCCAGAATTTTCTACAGAAGAAAGTCGAAGGTGAAAATTGTTTCTGTGAATTAGATACGATGTATGGATTTAAGGTCTGACCTCTCCTCTTACTTTTCATCCAGTTCTATTATATGAAATACTTAGATTAGATCTGCTTTTTCACATTAACTATTCCTAATTAATTGTATTATATGTTTTGTTGGTTGGTTTATATGATGAATTTTAATAAAAATAACAGGAACCGATTAGAATATTTCTAGTAGTTTTTGTCAAAATATATTTTAATAGTGTTTCATAGCAATAATACATAAAAACTAAATCATATACTCTGTTCATTCTTCCACTAAAACTAGTTTTCCCCCTGTAATGTAACAGGAGAAATTATATGAGACCTGGGAAATTCTGTCAACAACACATAGTATGGTTTGTCTTCTGCTTATTTTCTTCTTATTGACAGCCTACAAGTCATACTATTACAGGGAATGGAAGTGACAGCAACTAAAATTCTAACACAGAATGTTTTTGACATTATTCTTTGACCTCAGTTTTCTATTTTTTTGTCTTTACAGGTTCCCAGTCAACCTCAGATAAACCCTCCCAGCGGTCTTCAGAGAGCACAAATTGTAGCCCCACCCGGAAAAGGTCTTCATCTGAGAGTACTTCTTCAACAGGCATGTGGTGTTTGTTTTATCAGATTTTCAAGGTAGTTTCCCCTCTGTTACTTGTAAATGACAATATAAATAAAGAAAAGTTGCCTTGGTAGGTAAGAATTAGCAATAATGGACACTGAAACAGTATACTAGTCTTTCCCTTTAAAAAACTGAAGTGAGAGTTATTCCACAAACTTTTTTTTTTTTTAAACTCAAGGTTAAAGAGTATATTTGTTGTAGGGGAACATGGATTGAAGCCATTTAATAAAATTTTAAACACATATATAAAAGCCTTCGATAAAGTAATAATTTCCAAAATAGTTTTCACAGATCTCTGAGGATATGCAAAACAATTAGGCTTGTAAATATTTATTTTTAACTTATGCTTCTTAAATTCTAATATTTTCTGTTTTCAAAATATATGCAACTATGTAACACAGTATAATATATTTGTATAACTTATACAAAGATTTAGGACTGGGATGTATTTGGGGCAGGGGTGTTTTAATTTTATTTTTAGACAGGGTCTCATTATGTAGCCCAGGCTGGCCTCAAACTCAATATATAGCGCACTCTGGCCTTGAACATGGGATCAGTCTCCCAAATGCTGGGGTTATAGGCCTACACTACTCCTCCCAGCTTGAGGCTATTATTTCAGTGCATGCATAGTCCTGGGTTCAATCCCTGCACCAAAAAAAATAAATAAATAAGACTTATAGTATGCCCTCAGTTTTCTTTGGGTGGGGGGGAAGCCAATACATACTTGTCTTCCACCTTTACTTAAAATTAAAAAATAAGAAATCATTTTAAATATATCAGTATTGTCAAGAAAGATGGGGAGTGATAAGTTCCTTCCAGGCAATGATAGTAGTATGTATGAAGCAGAGAACAGTGGGTTCAAGAAAACAAATAAAAGAACCACTGTAGTTAGAATACACATGGTTTTTAAATGTGTGGTTGGAAAGGTGGGTAGAGACCAATGATATAGACCCTTAAATACAATATGTAGTCATAGAAAATTTTTTTGGTGGTACTGTGGATTGACTTCAGGACCTCACACTTGCTAGACAGGCTTTCTACCACTTGAGCTGTAACATTCCCAACCTGTTTTGCTTTAGATATTTTTTGAAACAGGGTCTAATGTTTTTACCTAGGCTAACCTGAACCACATTCCTCCTATATATGCTTCCTAAGTAGCTGGATGCCTGTCACCATGCCCAATTATTGGTTGAGATGGGAACTTCAAACTTTTTACCCAGGTTGGCCTTGAACTGCCATCTTCGCAATCTCTGCCTCCCAAATAGCTAGAATTAGAGGCCTGAGCACTTGACCACAGAAAGTTTTTAAGCAAGAAAGTGATAATACCATCTCATACTATTCTGTCTCTGTGTCTTGATTAGTGGATCACTTAGGTTTATTGGAACATTTAAGTTTTTCATCAGTACAAGACCTCTCTGCCAAATTTTAACAGTATAATATTTGTTGAATTTATTTGATAATCACTTCAATATTCCAAAAGCTCTTTATTAGTACTGTTACTCCAAAAGGACAATAGAATTTAACAGCGGTGATAGTTGTTTACTTCATGATGCTTTGTTTTTAATATTACCTTTGGGAAACTTTTAAACTCATTAACAAGTGACTAATTTTTATGGAGTCTACCTAGACTAAGGTAAAGATACTCAGTCTTTTTGTGCAGGTCTTATATTAGGAATGGTTTTTATATTTCCTTATATAAAATTTAAGGAGAATATATGACAGTCATTGATGTATCCTTAAAAGCCTAAAATATTTACTACCTAAACTTTTACAAAAAATACTTACCAATTACAATAATAGATACATAAGAAAGTCACCAAAATATTTTAATTTAGTTAACAAGAGAATATCTAAGCCCGTGAAGTTTTCTTTTATCATATGAATATTTTATTCCTTTATCAAATATTTGTTTTAGGGGTTACTGGGTGCTGACCACTAGGATTCAAACATATTCACCAATAAACAACATGTTCAAATCTGTAACGGAATAGTGTACCAAATGCTATACATAGAAACTCAAGCACTGACCACTTGGGATGAATGAAAGTGACCTCACTGAAGAAGTGACACATAGACTACTATATGTTGAATTTGAGTAAACAAATGGGGCAGCATAAAGGGAAGAATATATTCAACACACTAACAACAGCTCCACCAAAGAAAGGCACAAAACCATGAAATACCATAGAGTTTTTGGAGAACAGCATGTTTTTCAATATGTATAATGTCTAAGGGTGGTTGGAAATAAGACTATAAAAGTAATAATGGACTACATTGTATATGGTTTACTGGTTTTCAGCAGTACTGGAGTTCCTCATGCTTGCTAGGCAAGGGTTGTATAATTTAAACCATACCCCAGCCATTTTTGCTTTTGTTATTTTTTCAAATAAGGTTTCATTCTTTTTTTTTCCTGGGACTGGCCTCTACCCTGATCCTCTTACCGCTGCCTGCTGTGTCAGACCTGTGTACTACTCAGGGTTTTTTGTTTTTGTTATTGGGGTTTGTGTGGTGGTTTTGGCTGTACTGAGGTTTGAAGTCAGGGCCTCACACTCACTAGGCAGGTGTTCTACCACTTGAGCCTCACCACCATTCCTTTTTGCTATGTTTTTTTGAAATTGGATCTCACTAGCTTTTTTCCCTTACTGTCCTCAAACCATGATCTTCTTGATCTCCACCTCCCTAGTAGCCAGGGTTACAGACACAGGCCTCTGCACCTGACCCATGGTTTCCTTTTTCATTCAAAGGAGTTGAAACTATTACAGATGCATTTAGATACTATGGAAACATTTTTGATATATGTTAATTGTCTAGGAGTTGCGGTGCTAAAAGATAATCCCCAAATCCCAGTGGCTTAAAACAGCAAAGGTTTTTTTGAGATTTTTTTTTTTTTTTTATGCTATGTAACCATCAAGTCTGTTCAGTTTTCTCTTCCCACTAGGACCCTGACTGATTTAAAAAAAAAAAAAAAAACACTCTTATCTATAATGTTGATTATTTTGCAGCAGGGGAGGAAAGGGCCATAGTAAAGCACTAACTGGTCTTAAAATTTCTGCCTAGGTAGGAATGACATACATCTCACATTTTAAAGCCTAAGTAAGTTCATTCTTATGTCAGTGTAGCTGGAAAGTATAATCCTTTGAAAGGAGGGCAGCGAATACATATCATTAATATAGCCTAACATACGCATTTTAGAAAAAAATGCTGTATTATGTTGTAGAGAATGGAGTGAGACAAAAAGAAATTCATGAAAACAGTAGATTATGGCTTTTGATTTGGTTGTATTAAAATTGAACTGTAGCCAGGTGTGGTGGTACATGTCTCTAATCCCAGCCTTCTGGACCTGAGCTAAGATGATCTTGAGTTCAAGACCATCCTGAACTACATAGTGAGACTGTGTCTCAACAACAACAAAATGTTTTTTAACTGTCTCTGGGCTGTTGAGAGAGAGATGTTGAACAGATAATTGAAAGTGGTGATTTATAATTTTAGAGACATATGTGACAGATACAACATAGCTGTATATTAGATACTTGAAGTTGACAGTGGATGAAATTGCCCAAGGAGAAAGTGTAAAATGAGAAGATGACAGGGGCTGGAGACCTACAGAATGTTAGCATTTGAGAGGAACGCCAGAGGAAAAAAATGGCAGTGAATAAGACTTAAATAGGGAAAAAACAAACAGCTTGTGTTAAAGCAACCTGAAAAAATAATAGGCTAGTAAGAGTAGTCAACATCATTGTTGCTAAGAAGTCAAAGATTTGACCAGAAAGTGTTGAATGATTGGGAAAAGAAGGAAAAATGGTCTGAAGGTATAGCGTTCGAACAGTTTGGCAGTTTAAAAGAGGAAAAGGGACTATAAATTCAGGTGACATTAGAATAAGAGTTTTTTATTTCAAAGATTGTGGTAGATTAGGTGTGTAGCATACACAAACTTCATGGTGCCTAAAATCTAAAAATACTGGATAAAGTATGGAAAACATTTCTTACAGCATGGCCGAACTTTGAAATAAATAAAAAACTAGAAACTTCCGCAGTTTGGTTCAGAGGTAAGGAACACTAGGGCTACCTGGCATCTGTTTACTTGATCGCGGGTTGCTGAGAGCCTGGTAATTGAAATACATCCAGATGTAAAAGATGAAGGATACAGCCTAGGATTTCAACAGACGATCATGTCAGATTTCCATGCATAGAGGTAAAATCCCCAAAAAGGCGAGTTTTATCAGCATGAAAGGAGCAGGAAAGAGAGTTTCTGACCATGTATGTGCTCATGCTAGTTCTATAACATTATATTTACTCCTGCAGATTTAAATTTACTGTGAGACACAGTAAACAGTTAAATTAAAACGTGTTATAGAGACTTGTTAGATTACTTGGTGGAGCCAAATGCAAATATTCCAGAGAATTATCATTAAATATAAGCCTAACCTTTTTTTTGTTCAGTACTTCCTCAACTTTGGCTTAGTATTCACATATGTTGTGGTAATACAGGAATTGGTAGCCTTTATTTTGCAGTTTAAAGGCAAATAACCAGAGCCATGGCCTAATCTTATAGTTATATTCAAAGGAATAAAATATCTTTAGAAACTGTCTGCTTTGTAAACTAATGGTATACAATATGGAAACAAAAAATAATCCAAATTTTTGTAAGTGGAGTCTCATAACCCATTTTTTAAATCTAATTTCCCTGTTTTTAAATAAATACAAAGGGATCATATACTAAGAGTATATGACTGTTCTAACTGCTGCCATCATTATTATGTATGCCAAGAGTGTACAGTAACAAAAGTATTGTTGATGAGTAAATGAACTTTCTAGTGGTGTTAAATATCTTAAGTCTTTGAGACTTACTTTGAAAATGAGTGAATGTTTTTCATATGTTCTTTGTTAATGTTTGCTTTTGTCATTAAAGTTTTTTCTTACATTTGTAGCTTTAGATACTTGTTTAATTTCTCTTTTCTTGGAGATGTAATGTAAACCTGAAG